CCATTTTTCTGGTGTTGCCTGCAGGGAGCGGTGGTGGGCTGGTGTGGGCTCATTGCCCCACAGCTCAGCTGCCACTTGTTGGAGTTCACCCCAGTGAACGAGAGGGTCGCATCCCTGCGCCTTCGGGTCAGGGACAGGTCTCTCACTGTGGTGTCGGTCTATGGGCCGAACAGCAGTGCTGAGTACCCGGCCTTCTTGGAGTCCCTGGGAGGGGTACTAGACAGTGCACCAACTCCGGGACTCCGTTGTTCTACTGGGGGACTTCAACGCCCACGTGGGCAATGACAGTCACACCTGGAAAGGGGTGATTGGGAGGAACGGCCTCCCTGATCTGAACCCAAGCGGTGTTCTGTTACTGGACTTCTGTGCTAGTCAGTTTGTCCATAATAAACACCATGTTCGAGCACAAGGGTGTCCATAAGTGCACGTGGCACCAGGACACCCTAGGCTGGATGTAGATGATCGACTTCGTAGTCGTGTCACCTGACCTCCGGCCGCGTGTCTTGGACACTCGGGTGAAGAGAGGGGCTGAGCTGTCAACTGATCACCACCTGGTGGTGAGTTGGAGCCACTGGCGGAGGAGGAAGCCGGAAAGACCTGGCAGACCCAAGCGTGTAGTGAGGGTCTGTTGGGAACGTCTGGCGGAGCCCTCTGTCAGCAGGATTTTCAACTTGCACCTCCGGAAGAGCTTCTCCCAGATCCCGGGGGAGGTTGGGGACATGGAGTCCGAGTGGGCTCCGTTCTCCACCTCCATTATCAATACGGCCGCTCGTAGCTGTGGGTGTAAGGTCTGTGGTGCCTGCCGCTACCCATTGGTGGACGCCGGAAGTAAGGGATGCCATCAGGCTGAAGGAGTCCTATGGGCCTTGTTTGCTCGTGGGACTCCTGAGGCAACTGAAGGGTACCGATGGGCAAAGCGTGCAGAGGCAAAAACTCAGAGCTGGGAGGAGTTCGGAGAGGCCATGGAGGAGTCGAACCTCTGGCTCTGTGACTTATCTAATGTGTCCACTCCTAATCACATTTACCTGGAGTGCTATTTGACTCCTGCACATTGGTTTATTTACAAACACTGTTGAGCAGAGCTTGCATTACTGCTTGCATTTGACTATGCTTGACATCACACTCCCTTAGTCCATTTCTTTATCCAGTCCATGTTCTGAAACCGTACTTCACCTCATATCACCTCTGCCTCAGTATCCTCTGTATTAATAACCACAAGGTTTAGTTAAGGCAGGGATCACATGCGTAACACAATGCAGGTCATTGGTCTGTGTGTCTGCAGAGAGAGCACTATTGTTCAGAGCATTTACCCTGCAGCTGTACCATTGAGCCAAGTGGGCAGTGTTACCAAAAATCTATGTTCTAAATATTACTCAAGTAGACATGGATTATGTACAATAAAAATACAATATATGAAATTCACCAGGTAAAGTAGTCCTGACCAAGGGTCAGTCAAGATAAGGCTCAGTGGTTAGAGCAGTGGGTAAGGTTAGGTTTGGATGGTGTTGAGGAATTTCTAGACTACAAGCAATAAAAGAACTGAAAAGTTGTTTTGACTTAAGGAGTCTGATTTATTAAAGCAGTTTCAACACATAGGATAAGACGTAATCTCCTCTAAGGACAGGTCAGCACTAGGGATGCAACGATAGTTTTCCCATGATCGATACACATCTCGATACACAGGTCACGATATTGATTCAATTTCGATATGTTTTAAGACACAAAAAAATCTCATGTAATTTTTTTTAGTATAATATTATACTGCCAATGAGTATAATATAATAACACTATGATATAATGAAACATTACATACAATACACACAATACAGTAGAACTACTGTAAAGTTACGCTTCATATGTGAAGTGTTTTAGTTCATTTGGTTCAGTAATTTACAGCTCAGAATTTTTATTCAGTGAAAGTAAGAACAGAGTTTCTCAGCTTTTTACCAGTCTACTCTTCATACAGACTGTAGCGGAGTTACACTATCAGACTTTCCCTTTTTTGATGATGATTTGATTATTTATTTTCCTCCTTAGTCTCATTGCATCACATGCCTGTGTCCACTGCTCTGCCCCCTCCAGCAGAGACAGTACGTAGTTCCTCCCACACTGCCCCCTGCAGCAGAGATAGTACGTAGCTCCTCCCACACTGCCCCCTGCAGCAGAGATAGTACGTAGCTCCTCCCACACTGCCCCCTGCAGCAGAGATAGTACGTAGCTCCTCCCACACTGCCCCCTGCAGCAGAGATAGTACGTAGCTCCTCCCACACTGCTCTGCTACAGTCTGTGTTCTTACACACTGCACTCTCCTGTCCTCTTTCTGAACACTAAAACTGTTATATTAAATAGAAATGTCTTAACAGTTTTCTGACTTATACTTATGAGACTTTTACTTTTACTTATCAATCTTTTACTTGTGAGAAAAAGATTGTGTTTATCACGAGTCGCGTCACGTGTGCGTATACGAGCACATTTGATTAAAGCCGATATGAAGCGAAAAGCGATTCTAAAGTATTTAAAAGTGAATATGTCTGTCATTCCTGGATCTAGCAATGTAAATAAAAAGTGAGTTAAAGATAAAATCTACCCGTTAGTATATTTCAGCTGTAAGTCCATACGGAACTGTTTTCTCACTGCACCTGAGGTGCATGGAAGTACATGTGCATATTGACCATGTGTATCGAATTGTGAGACCAGTATCGAAGGATTCGACATTATATGGAATATCGCTGTATAGCGGGTGGTACCACTGGGTGTTGCTGCTGGGCCACGATATGATATGAGCAATAGACTTGATGGGGCACAAGGTCAGTGTTCTACATAAGATGACAAGATTACAGCAAGTTTTAAGTTTCACGACGTGAGTGATGTGACTCTGGGGGTGTGTTCATGGGCAGTACGGCGACAAATTATTCAGCAGATAAATACTGGTGCGGCGCTACATATTAGTATATTTATCTGTCTGTAAATTGAACTAAATGGACATAATGTAAGAGTCTACGCTTTATAAGGAGGCATAATATGCCCACGTGGACTATCTGCCTATATCAGCAAGATTTAGGCCTATAGTAGCCAGGCTGGTGCCACCTAGTGCCTCTGCTCAATTTCATTTCTCTTCAGCAACTACGTCAGGAATCAAAATATAATAAACAGTTATCAAAAACCCCGGAAGTGCAAGTTCGGGCACCAGCCAATCAGCGAAGAGTCATATATTCAGTGTTGTCAACGATTCCTGAGATCGAGGATTTAAAGCCGGAACAAAGAGATTATTTGAATTTCATCAAAGGGAAAGACATTATTGTCCTTCTTCCTACAGGATCTGGGAAAAGCTTAATATACCAGTTAGCCCTGTTAGCGGCACATTACATACGTGACTACTAAAGTGATTGGTTAAATGATAAAAAGTATCCGCCTCCCGTCGAGCAAAC